TTATAGATTCTAGCATTGTCATAGGACTCAAGGCTCATTTCTTCAAGTTCTTAGAGTTGCATCTTCCGATTGACAAGTGAAGATTCGAGACCTGTATCACATGCCTTGATTACCCAATAAGATTTGTGCTCGATCTCCATAGACGGCAAGCCTTGCCATAAAGTAATCGGAAGGGAGACATGCCTGGGGGATCTTGTAGGCAGTCTAGTAGGCCCAAAGAGCTTTCTCAAGCCTTTCACTCTAGTCCTTATGGGATGGTTTTATGATCTTCTCAAGTATTCACTTCACTTCCCGGTTAGAGACTTCAGCCAACCCATTCGTTTGAGGGTGATAAGGAGTGGCAAACTTATGATTAACTCTATGCTTAGCCAATAGAGACTTGATACTCTTGTTGCAATAGTGTGTGTAAAGAACCTAACATCAAAACACTTTAGCTCATCACAAAGTCACTACTATGGTAGAAAAGGAAATCTGTTAAAAGAACTACCATAGTAGGAAGAAATTGCCTAACTTTAGAAATTAGCATTTAAACTCTGTTCAAATTTGAACTCTGTTGCATGCTACTAACATCATTCATTAAACATCAATCATTCACAACCACTGGGCCTCCGAGCCTCTGGCCCGGGTAACAACAGACATCAAAATCAGCCCATCCAATTAGTTTTCAACCATGTATAACAAAGTCTCACAAAGCAATAAGAATGGCCTTCGGCCAACTAAAATAAGGAGAAAACATTTTCCCAATTTACAATAAGGCCAGGTAATCAAAATATTTCAAAAGGACCCTAATTGTGGCAATATACAACCGATCATACATAGACAAAAGCGAGAGGCCTAAAGCTAACCAAGCTCAAGCCTCTGCGTCTCTTCCCGAAGGCGCATGCCTAGAACCTTCACTTGAAAACATTGTAAACCACAGGGTGAGACAAAGTCCCAGTAACCAACCTTTCCAATACTAGGTACTACTAAATAGGTGCTCGTGAGGTGTCAAGTGGGGCAGTTCACAATTAATATAATAATTGATAGCCACAACACTTAATGCAGGTGCAATGATGCAATCCCATCAACCATATCCCTCACTTTGGGGGATTTTCAAGAGCCGAACCCGGCCTATCCCTCACTATGGGGGACGTAAGGAGCCATAAAAGGCCTATCCCTCACTCTGAGGGACGTAGGGAGCCAAGAGGCCTATCCCTCACTATGGGGGACGTACTAAGCCAACCATCATGCATTAATGGAGGCCTTACCACGTGGTAGTAACTATCAAACTCTCACCAATTCCCAAATCATGCATCATGTTCAAATCATAATCAAAGAGTAATAATCATTTCACAATTAACCTCATTCAGTGGCATATCTTTCACAATTCCAAAATTCATTCATCATTAGTCGAAACCCCACAAGACGGTTTTCCTTTTTATACACAACATACAGTTTGAACATAATTACTACTTAGAGTACAAAACATAAATCTACTCACAATACCACAGAAGCAAGTACTAAGGATTGGAAAATGGTTACCTCTCGCTGAGCAAGGAACAACAAACCAATGATGTGGCCCCGTGCACCACCAAGACTCACAACCGGTCTACACAAGCATACAAACACACAACCATCATATATTAGCTTTCAAACTAATAATGTGGCCAAAACAACACTTGGGGACACAAAATTCCTATCTCCCATCCAAAACTCTACCCAACTCAAAGGGTATAACTATCAAGGCAACACTCCAAAGTCATACCAACCCATAAAAACCTTAATTCCTTTCCAAACATCAATTAAAATTCATAACCTCAAGGACCCACTATGGAATTCTACACCCAAACATCCCATTTGAGCAATTAAGGTTCCAACAACAAATCTAAACCGATTAAACATCCAATTTAACCCTCCTTAACACAACCCAATTCACAAAACTCAAAATCGATCTCTACATTATCATCCTCAATCCCAAATCATCCATCTCCATAAACCCTAGCTCCAAAAACTCAAGATTCTTTAAATCCAAGGAAACTACACCGATTAAACACTTAAACTAACCCAAAGCAATCAATTAAACTCAAAACAATCAGTCAAAAACCTCAGTTCCATCACAACCTAGAAAATCCTAGGGTTCCACCACAAATCCTCAAAAATTCCAAGAAATTCCAAGAAAGAAAGAAGGTTAGAGGTTAAAATCACTTACTTGAGGTAATGGATCCTTAGAAATGTCTTTCCCAAGCCTCAAAACCGAAACCCTAGTAGAGCTCCTCTCTCCTCCTTCAGATTTTCTTATTTTCACACGCTGAACCCTCCAGCGACTATATAGATTCGGGACCTTTCGCCGCGGCGAACTAATCCCGAGAGGGATTACTCGCCTGAAAACTTGACTTCGCCACGGCAAAAGCTTCCCGAGAGGAAACTCTCGCTCGCCCAGAAAAACTTTGTCGTGGCATGCCCTTACCTTCGCTGCGGCGAAACCTTCCCGAAAGGGAAGCCTCGCTCACCTGAACAACTTCGCCGCGGCGTCCCTATGACTTCGCCGCGGCCAAACCTTCCCGAGAAGACACTCCCCTCTGAAACTCCCGGTGTGCCGCGGCGAACATACCCTGAGAGGGGTACGTTCACCTATTCCTCCAACATACCTCACATCCAACCCAAACACCAAGATCAAGATTTAATTACTAATCTATCCTCAAAATCAACCAAAAGAGGCTATTAAGAACCCAATAAAACTAGGATGTTACAGTGTGTCCCTAGGTCATTGATAATTGCTCTTGGAATGCCATACCTGCAGAAGATATGAGAACATAAAAACTTGGCAACCATAGAAGCATCGTCTTTCCTAGTTGGCATCTCCTCTATCCATCGAGACACATAATCTACTGCAAGTAATATGTATGAAAACCCAAAAGATGATGGGAAGGGACCCATAAAGTCCATGCCCCACACATTAAAGATTTCACAAAAATGTATAGGTCTTAGAGGCATCTCATGCTTCCTACCTAAACTCCCAAACTTCTGACACTTATCACAAGACTTGCAAAAAGAATAAGCATTCTTAAATGGTGAAGGCTAGTAAAAACCACATTCAAAAACCCTCATAGCAGTCCTATTAGTACTAAAATGGCCCATCGCAAGATAAAGAATGTGCAAGAGAGTGGATCTCATTGTTCAGAACACAGCGTCTGATGATCTGGTCACTGCATTGCTTTTACAGGATTGGAGCATCCCAAATCTAGTATCTCACCTCCCTCTTTAGCTTATCAATATGAAATTTAGACATAGAAGGGGGCACAAGGTCAGTGACAAGATAATTAACTATATTAGAGTATCAAGGCTCATGAATAGCCAAGGAAAAAAGTGCAGAATCACGAAATGAGTCAATAACAAGATCAGAAGAATCAACTCTCTATGTACCTTCAAGTAACCAGCTAAGGTGGTCAACTACATGATTCTCTACTCCAGCTCTATCTCTGATCTCAACATCGAATTCCTGTAGCAGCAAAGCCTATCTCAACAGTCTAGATTTAGGCTGAGGCTTCTTAAATAGGTATCAAACTGCTGCATGATTTGCAAAGACAACCACTCGAGAGTTTATCAAATACTACCTAAACTTATCCAAAGCAAAAATAATAGCAAATAGTTTCTTCTCTGTAGTGGTATAATTGACTTGAGCAAAATCAAGCATCTTGGAGGCATCTGCTATGACTCTAGACTATTTCTCCTCCTTTTGTCTGAGCATGGCACCTACTGAAAGGTTAGAAACATCATAAGACAACTCAAAATGTAAATTTCAGTTAAATGCAGTGAGAACAGGAGGTAAAACAAGCATAGATTTCAAAATGTCAAATACATGTCTACACTTGTCATCAAATTTAAATTCAGCATCCTTTTTTAACAAGGTAGAAAGAGGCAATACAACTTTACTAAAATCCTTAATAAAGAATCAATAGAAACCTGCATGCCCTAAGAAAGACCTCAAGTCCTTTAAACAAGTGGGATGAGAAAGGGATGAAATAACTTCAATTTTGGCTCTATCAACCTCAATCCCCTTTTGGGAGATGAGGTGACCTAAAACTATCCCTCTATCAACCATAAAATGATACTTTTCAAAGTTTAAAACCAATTTTTTATCAATACATCTCTCAAGAGCTTGCTCTAGGCTATTCATGCACTCATCAAAACTCTCACCGTAAATAGTGAAGTCGTCCATAAAAACTTTCATATTCTGCTCTAGAAGATCACTAAATATTGCCATCATGCACTTTTGAAAAGTGCCTGGAGCATTACATAACCCAAATGGCATCTTTGATAAGCAAATATACTAAAAGGGCATGTAAAAGTAGTCTTGTCCTGATCTTCAGGAGTAATAGGCACATGAAAATAGTTAGAAAAACCGTCTAGAAAACAATAGTGAGACTTTTCTGAAATTCTCTCCAACATTTGATCTATAAAAGATAGTAGAAAGTAGTCCTTTCTTATGGCATCATTCAACTTCCTATAGTCTATACACACTCTCTAAGCATTTTGAACCCTAGTTGGAATCAGTTCATCATTTTTATTTCTCACTACTATGATACCGCTCTTCTTTAGCATTACTTGTACTAGACTTACCCACTCACTATCTGAGATGGGATAGATGATCCCAGCACTCAATAACTTAGAGACTTCCTTCTTAACCACATCCAGAATGAGAGGATTCAATCTCCTCTGTAGTTGCCTAACTGGCTTGGACCCTTTATTCAAAAGGATCCTGTGTGTGCAAATTGAGAGATTAATCCCTGGAATGTCCCCTAAATACCATCTTATAACCCTTTTATGACTCTTCAATCTTTCTTCTTCAGAACTACTCAAAGAATTAGAAATAATAACAGGAAATTTAGAATCAGTAGCAAGAAAGACATATTTCAAATTAGGGGGGAGGTGTTTCAATTCTAAATCAAGAGGTTGCACAATAGAAGGAACTAATTCTTTTATGTCAAGTGTATTTAAAGCAAGTGGTGTTTTCATGTGGCTTAGGAAAGGAGATATAAGCTTATCATGATGTGTATGTCCTCCACTTTCCAACTCAGTGCCATTCTTGGATAACCTACAAAAAAGAGAATCGGTATTAATTATCAACAGAAACATTAAGTAAATCATAAGGAAGAGTGTGATTAGAAGTGACTAAGTTAGTAGTCAGCTTGTTACTAGCCTCTTCTAATGTTCCGGCACCACTCAAAGGAGAAGCTACCAATGTAGCTTGCATAGTAGCTCCTTTATCATCAGTACCTGCAAAATCAATAAATTCACCTTTCTCAAGGCTATCATCAAGTGTAATATTCAAAGTAGAATCAAGGTTAAGACAAGATGATGCATTAAAATAATAAGAGATGGAAAGGAGGTGATCAACTTCTAAACAATTAACGCACATCCTGTCACTATAACATAAGCAAAAAGAAGAAGAATGAGGGGTAGATAAACAAGTAAATGCATCATCATACTCATCATGCAAATTATCAACATCGTTAACAATGCAATCAATCAAATTAACACCCATGTAAGCAATCTGCATAACCTTGACTCATAGCATTATAAATGTTGAAGGTAATCTGTTGGTCCCTAAAGCCCATGGTAATGACCCCATCTTTTACATTAATTATGGTTTGGGCTATTCCAAAAAAGGTCTTCCTGGAATAAAAGTGCTATCAATTTTAATCTCATTAGTTATATCTAGCACATAGAAGTCAGCTGGGAATACAAGACCCTTCACTTACACAAGAACATCCTCAAGAAAGCCCTTAGGATGTCTCACAGTCCTATCAGCTAGACCTAGCATAACACTGGCATCTTTTAAGGCATGAATACCTAAACTCTCATAAATAGAGGTAGGCATAACATTTATGACTGCACCTAAGTCTAGTAAGGCTTGTGAAATATTTGTTTTGTCTATGGTACAGGGAATAGTGTAGGAACCCCAGTCTTTACACTTAATAGGTAGCTGTGGCTTGAAGATAGCACTAACACTAGACCCTAGTTGGATTCTCTCACTATGCCTATATTTCCTCTTGTTTGTATATAGGTCTTTCAGAAACTTAGCACACTTAGGCATCTTCTTAATCAAATCAAGTAATAGCACATTCATCTCAAGTTTGCTAAACATTTTAAAAAGCTCTTTATTATCTTTCTTTTCAACAACTTTCTTACTTGTGAGATAAGAATGAGGAAAAGGCAAGTAAAAAATGTTTACCTCATCGCTCTTAGAAGGTGATCCTTTTTCTATTGGCCCTTTAGATTGAATGGAGGTCTCTTGAGTAGCCTTGGGAATGTATTGGGCGGTTTTAGAAGGAGGAGACTCAACTTCTATCTCTTCATCAATCGGTTCTTCATCATCTTCATCTTCTTTGAATTGCATTTTCTTAGTACCAATTTCCTGACCACTTCTCAATGTAATCGCATTCAAAGATTTAGGATTTATCACCATGTTGGAAGGTGTAAAACCCTTTACCTCAAAACATTATAATCTCGTCATAAAACCACTACTATGGTAGAAAAGGAAAGCTGTTAAAATGAACTACCATAGTAGAAAGAAATTTGCGAAATTTCAGAAATTGACTTTCAAACTCGGGTCAGACCCAAACTCCGTTGCATGCAACTAAGAATCATTCATTAACATCTACTGGGCCTCCGAGCCTCTGGCCCGGATAACAACATACATCACATCAGCCCATCCAAAATGGTTTCCCAGACAATAAATCAAAGTTTCATAAGATACTATAAATGGCCTCCGGCCAACCTAAAATAAGGAGATAACATTCTCTCCAGTTTACAATAAGGCCGGGTAATCAAAATATTTCAAAAAGCAGTCCTAAATGTGGCAATATATACTAGCCATACATATACAAGTGCTAGAGGCCTAAAGCTAACCAAGCTCAAGCCTCTGTGTCTCTTCCTGATGGCCCATGCCCGGAACCTTCACCTGAAAACATTGTAAACCACGGGGTGAGACAAACGTCCAAGTAACCAATCTTTCCAATTCAAGGTACTACTAAATAGGTGCTCGTGAGGTGTCAAGTGGGGCAGTTCACAAGTAATATTATAACTGATAGCCACAACAAGTTATGCAAGTGCAATGATGCAATTCCCATCAACCATATTCCTCACTTTGAGGGATTTTCAGAAGCTGAACCCGGCCTATCCCTCACTATGGGGGACGTAAGGAGCCATAAAAGGCCTATCCCTCACTCTGGGGGACGTGGGGAGCCAAAAGGCTTATCCCTCACTATGGGGGACGTAAAGAGCCAACCATCATGCATTAATGGAGGCCTTACCACGTGGTAGTAACTATCAAAAACTCTCACCAATTCCCAATTCATGCATCATGCTCAAACCATAATCAAATAGTAATTGAACATTTCATAATTAACTTCATTCAGTCCTTCACAATTTCAAGATTAATTCATCATCAATTGAAACCCCACAAGACGGTTTTTCTTTTTATATACAACATACACTTTGAACATAATTGTTACTCGAAGCACAAAACATAAATCTACTCATAATACCACAGAAGCATGTACTAAGGATTGGAAAGTGGTTACTGTAAAACCCTTAATCTCAAAACATTATAACTCGTCATAAAACCACTACTATGGTAGAAAAGGAAATCTGTTAAATGAACTACCATAGTAGGAAGAAATTTGCATAATTTTGAATTAACATGTAAACTCGGTTCCAACTCAAAGTCCGTTGCATGCAACTGAAATCATTCATTTACATCTCCTGGGCCTCCGAGCCTCCGGCCCGGGTAACAACAGACCTCACATCAGCCCATCTAAATGATTCCCAACAAAATAATCCAGAGTTTCATAGGACACTAGCAATGGCCTCCGGCCAACCAAAATAAGGAGATACATTCTCTCCAATTTACAACAAGGCCGGGTAATCAAATATTTCAAAAAGCAGTCCTAAATGTAGTAATATATACTAGCCATACATATACAAAGGTTAGAGGCCTAAAGCTAACCAAGCTCAAGCCTCTGCGTCTCTTCCCGATGGCCCACGCCCGAAACCTTCACCTGAAAACATTGTAAACCACGGGGTGAGACAAAGTCCCAGTAACCAACCTTTCCAATTCAAGGTACTACTAAATAGGTGCTCGTGAGGTGTCAAGTGGGGCAGTTCACAAGCAATATGATAACAAGATAGCCACAACAAGTTATGCAAGTGCAATGATGCAATTCCCATCAACCATATCCCTTACTTTGGGGGATTTTCAGAAGCTGAACCCGGCCTATCCCTCACTATGGGGAACGTAAGGAAGCCAAAAGGCCTATCCCTCACTCTGGGGGACGTAGGGAGCCAAAAGGCCTATCCCTCACTATGGGGGACGTAAAGAGCCAACCATCATGCATTAATGGAGGCCTTACCACGTGGTAATAACTATCAAAAACTCTCACCAATTCCCAATTCATGCATCATGCTCAAACCATCATCAAATAGTAATTGAACATTTCATAAGTAACTTCATTCAGTGGCATATCTTCCACAATTCCAAGATTCAATCATCATCAATCGAAACCCCACAAGACGGCTTTCCTTTTTATATACAACATATAGTTTGAACATAATTACTACTTGGAGCACAAAACATAAATCTACTCACAATACCACAGAAGCAAGTACTAAGGATTGGAAAGTGGTTACCTCTCGCCTGAGCAAGGAACAACAAACCAACAATGTGGTCTCGTGCACCACCAAGACTCACAATCGGTCTACACAAGCACACAAACACACAACCATCATGTATTAGCTTTCAAACTAATAATGTGGCCAACACAACATTTGGGGACACAAAATTCCTAGCTCCAACCAAAACTCTATCCAACTCAAAGGGTATAACCATTAAAACAACACTCCAAAGTCATAAAAGTTATTAAAACATCAAGTTTCCTTCCAAGCATCAATTAGAGTTTAAACCTCAAGGACCCACTATAGGAATTCTACACCCAAACATCCTATTTGAATAATTGAAGTCTTAACAACAATCTAAACCGATTAAACATCCAATTTAACCCTCCTTAACATAACCTAAATCACAAAACTCAGAATCAACCTCTACATTATCATCCTCAATCACAAACCTCCTATTTCCATAAACCCTAGCTTTAAAACTCAAGATTCTTTAAATCCAAGAAAACTACACCGATTAAATAATTAAACTAACCCAAAGCAATCAATTAAACTAAAAACAATTGGTCAAAAACTTCAATTCCATCACAACCTAGAAAATCCTAGGGTTCCACCAAAAATCCTCAGAAATTCCAAGAAAGAAAGTAGATTAGAGGTTAAAATCACTTACTTGAGGTAATGGATCCTTAGAAATGTCTTTCCTAAGCCTCAAAACCAAAATCCTAGCAGAGCTCCTCTCTCCTCCTTCAGATTTTCTAATTTTCGCACAACTGAACCCTCCAGCGTCTATATAGATTCGCCACCTTTCGCCGCGGCGAAAGCTTCCCGAAAGGAAACTCTCACTCGCCTAGAAAAACTTCACCACGGCATACCCCTACCTTCGCCGTGGCGAAACCTTCCCGAGAGGGAAGCCTCGCTCACCTGAACAACTTCACCGCGGCGTCCCTATGACTTCGCCGCGGCCAAACCTACCCGAAAGACAAACACCCCTGGAACTCCCGGTTCGCCGCGGCGAAGAACATACCCTGAGAGGGGTACGTTCACCTGTTCCTCCAACATACCTCAAATCCATCCCAAACACCAAGATCAAGATTAAATCACTAATCTATCCTCAAAAATCAACCAAAAGAGGTTATTAAAACCCAATAAAAACTCAGGATGTTACAATTACCTCTCGCCAGAGCAAGGAAAAACAAACCAACAACACGGCCTCGTGCACCAACAAGGCTCACAACCGGTCTACACAAGCACACAAACACACAACCATCATGTATTAGCTTTCAACTAATAATGTGGCCAAAACAACAATTGGGGACACAAAATTCCTATCTCCCATCAAAACTCTACCCAACTCAAAGGGTATAACTATCAAGGCAACACTTCATGGTCATACCAATCCATTAAAACCTTAATTCCTTTCCAAACATCAATTAAAATTCATAACCTCAAGGACCCACTATAGGAATTCAACACCCAAACATCCTATTGGAACAATTGAAGTCTTAACAACATTCTAAACCTATTAAACATCCAATTTAACCCTCCTTAACATAACCCAAATCACAAAACTCAAAATCAATCTCCATATTGTCATCTTCAATCACAAACCTCCCAATCTCATAAACCCTAGCTCCAAAAACTCAAAGTTTTTCAAATCCAAGAAAACTAAACTGATTAAATACTTAGACTAACCCAAAGCAATGAATTAAACTCAAAACAATCGGTCAAAAACCTCAATTCCATAACAACCTAGAAAACTCTAGGGTTTCACCATAAATCCTTAGAAATTCCAAGAAAGAAGATAGATTAGAGGTTAAAAAGCACTTACTTGAGGTAATGGATCCTTAGAAATGCCCCCTCCAAGCCAAAATACCGAAACCCTAGCAGAGCCTCTCTCTCTACCTCAGATTTTTCTAATTTTCACACAACTGAACCCTCCAGCGATTATATAGATTCGTGACCTTTTGCCATGGCGAACTCCAATCTTCGCCGCAGCGAACTAATCCCGAGAGGGATTACTCGCCTGAAAACCTGACTTCGCCGTGGTGAACTCCAATCTTCGTTGCGGTGAAAGCTTCCCGAGAGGAAACTCTCGCTCGCCTAGAAAATCTTCGCCGCAGCATACCCCTACCTTCGTCGCGGCGAAACCTTCCCGAGAGGGAAACCTTGCTCACCTGAACTGTTGGAAATTGTGCCTTAGGGGCCAATCATTATGTTATGAACATTATTGATTTATGAATCTATTAATTATGTTATCATATTATTTGCATGTTTACTGTGATGACTATCCTTGGATAACTCATGATTTATCCTAAATGTCCCTGGTCGGTCATCTATGTGGGAGCAGAGATGAAATAAGACCAGTATGACTTTAAAGATATATAGAGATATAAATTAAAGTCATAGGCACATGTAAGAGTACAAGGTGTTGGACCGACCCGCTATGAGAGAGCTACATGGGTTAAGTCATAAGCTTCTCTCATATACAAACCATGTCACTATGCCCTTTGACCTGAGATCATCATGGATTCCTATATGAGAAACGCTCAACTTTGACCTAGTCAAAATTCACTTTTGACTGAGTGATCATAAAGACTATGTTCAGGCTTAGTGGTTTTTCATGCGGAGGAATGTGAATGGTCAAGATGGAATTTGTCCCTCACATTCATAGAGAGATATTACTGGGCCCCTTGATGAGTGAGTTTGAGAAATGTATGGTCATACTATAATGGAAAGGTAGTTCCATTTCTATACTCAGACTACTCAGGGATCGAGAAAGTAACGGTCATGAATAGGAGGATGACGTTCTCCATGCCTCATCCATGACCAAAATGTTGTGTGACAAAAGGGACATGATGTGGTTGTATGAAAGGTTACATCGTTCAACGATCCTCATATGATTTGGGTAGTCGTGATGTCTTGCTAGAGACTACTTACGACTTGTGAGTCATTATAATTAATGGCCCACTGCCAACTTCATATGGGCCTACAGGGTCGCACACAAAATAGCCCAACACGAGTTATGATGTCCAGATTCATTGAATCTAAGATATGTCTAGATTCAATGAATAATATATGGTGGACGTGTATATATATATACAAATTCGTATATATATATTATATAAATATAAGAGATATTAATTGTTAGATTTAATTTATAAGGATAAATTAGATCTATGTAAATTAATTCCGTCATATCTTTATTTTAAATTAAATAAATAGGTGAATTAAATCTATGAGACGGATTTAATATAAACCGTATTTATTTAATGGTTCTCTTATCTGATTAGGCAATATTTGATATTGCATTAATTTCGGAATTAATTTATGATTAATTCCGAAATTAAATATCATTCATAATACCTATAGCATCCTATATATTTGATATTAGGAGCTAGGGTTTTAGTAAGTGAGAGGGCGAAAGCTTGCAGATAAGAGACAGCCAAAAATAGAGAGAGAGGAGGACGGACTCTTTGAAAAACCCTAGACGGACAAAGAGGTGCTAGCACGTCGTTCGTGACTGGAGAGCTATTCGTGTGGATATCGGTAGAGGAAGCCGACCGGAGTTGTCGACTTCGAACGACAAAGGAGGCGAGCAGAGGCATCCTGAACGGCGGAATCATTAAGCCACCAAGAAATTGAACAAAGAAGGTAATGCTTCTTACTACTTGACTTAAACACGATTGGTAGATCCGAGCAAGGGATTGAAATTTTTTTAAATTTATTTTTCGTCGCGCGTCTTTCAATTCCCTTCATGAACAACTTCACCGCGGCGTCCCTATGACTTTGCCGTGGCCAAACCTGCCCAAAAGACAATCCCCCTTGGAACTCCCAGTTCGCCGCAGCGAATATGTTCACCTATTCCTCCAACATACCTCAAATCCAACCCAAACACCAAGATCAACATTAAATGGCTAATCTATCCTCAAAATCAACCAAAAGAGGTTATCAAAACCCGATAAAACTCAGGATGTTACAGAAGGCATTGAACGACCAACCTTAGCTTGCTATTCACTCATACCATTTGACAATTTAGTGACGTAAGAAGTCAAATTGGAAGTTCTAGTTTTCATTGCTCCATCCTACTCTTTAGGGCTGCAAATCTAGCTTTAGGTTTAGCTTCAGACTTAGACATATACTCACTCATTGAGTCTTCAAGAGAACCACTCATCATCCTTAGACTGCAGTTGCTGTGCGATAGATATGGCTCTAGAGGATTCTTCTTGTATCCCTCCATAGTAAGATTGCCCTTGAGGAACCATATTCCCTTGAAACCCTTCTTGAACTTGCCTATTGTCACCTCTTCCCTATCAGAGATTCAGATCATCTTTCCACCTTTTATTATATGTATTTGAGTATGGGTTCCATTGCTTAGATTGATTGGCCCTTCCTTGATACATGGCAGAAACCTCCTCATATTTATGAGGGCAAGTAGCAGAGATGTGCATAACAAAGTTACAATGCTCATAATTAGGTGCAGTCATCTCCATGGAATTAGGATTCTAAGTGTCAACAGGGAGAGTGTGAGATGTAAGTTTATTTAGCTGCATAGTCAAAGCAACAATTTGAGAAGTAAATGTGTCTAATTCAAGAATATAGATTGAAGAAAGATTAGCATGCATTGCATTAACATTTTTAGACTCCCTGATACTATAATTTTGATGTTTCAAGGCCATTTTCTTGATAAGTTCCCATGCCTCCTCAGCAATTAAATCAATGAGAGAATCCCCTGAAGCAGCATCCAACATCCCCTTGTCTTGGGTCTTAAGTCCATCATAAAAGTATTGGACTAACTGCTTACATAGAATCTGACGATGCGGACATCTAGAAAGCAAGTCTTGAAAATGGTTCCAATAGTCATAAAGTGATTCATCATAGTCTTGCTTTGTAGAGTAGATCTCTTTTCTCAGCATAGAAGTCTGAGAAGCGGGGAAATACTTCTCTAAGAATGCTTTTCTGAGGTTGTTCTAGTTATGGTAGGTATCTGCCATATGCCTAGGCAAGCTCATATACCATTCTCAGGCTTTACCCTCCAGAGACAAATAGAATACCTTTTTAAAAACCTTATCCAGACTAGCCCCGACCAGTTTCATGCTAGAGCATACTATAGAGAGAGATTTTCAGATGATTGTACGGGTCCTTACCTATCAAGATATAGAATTTAGGCAAAGAATTAAGCAGTGGGCCTTTAATCTCAAAATTGACATCAACATTACGGCATGCAACATTAAAAGGATCATAATTTGCATCAAAAGTAGTATGGTTCGTCTTCTAGGATTACCTCCATTATTCTGACCTGCTCTATTATGTTTACCATTATGTCCATTGCTCCCTCTATCATTACCACCATTGGGATTATTATTACCATTAGGGTTGTTAACAATTTCCATTATATCACCTAAGTCAACCACCAAATCTAAACTAACTGAATTGCCTAGTTCAACCTCAGGATCACTAGACGCACTGTATTCACTAGAAGACAAGTTAAACTCGTGTGAAAGATTTTTCCTCTTCAATTATAATCTCACTAGTCCTTTCTACCCTTTCATCTTGTCCAACTTCCCTTAAAGAACTTTGAAGCTCAAGATTGAAAGGAACTAGGGTTTTAGACCTACCCCTTCTTGGCATAAACAATTAAACAACTAGAAGCAAAAACATATGAATGCAATGCAAGTGTCTAAATCTATATGCAAAGCAAAGCAAAATCAAGATATTTGTGTTGTATTTTTTAAAAATTTTCTATGCAAATGAAAGAAATGCTATGAAAAACCAAAAACAAATGTAACTACTCATTGTTCCTCCTCTGGTCGCTCACACTGAATCCTCTTTTGCCTTTAAGCTCCTTCCTCCATCGCCGTTTGCTACTATTATGTTCGCGTCTCTATTCACTGTTTCTGTCCAGCGCCCACTCTCTTCAAACTGATGATAATATGAATTATTAGGGTAGGAGCAAAATGCAGCGTTTTGCTCCTGCCTTTTTCACTATTTATTTTTTTAATTGATTTTTTAATATATTTTTCTTCTCCTTTTTTTATTTTTAAATCTACCAAAAACCTGCAATCACAATTCAAGAATAAGGTAGTATTAATTGTCCTTAAAAATCAATTAATCACAATTATGATAATTTTACCCCTATTATGCACTAATTCAAGTTAAAGCATTCTAATATAAATTATACTCCGTAACGCAATTAAGGACCAATAATAATGACAAAAACCCACCAAGAATATATGAAATGCATATAAAAACATAGGTTTGTCATGAGGCTTGTGTACGTGGGATTGGCTTGAAGTCAGATAATGAAGAAGAAGACGGTGGGAAATTACAGCAAGGCTAATAATTCCGACAATTGCTATAAAAGACCACAACATTATTGATGCTATAATGAAACTCAAGAAGAGCATAGAATGGAAAATACAGTGATAGGATTATGAAATTAGCTTCTTTTTTGGGGAATCAAATACTAATAATTGAGCGATGAAGTAGCAAAGTTTAGATAGGAGTATGAAGGAGAGAAAACATCCCAAAAATTGAATATATTTTAATATGAAAAGTAAAGTTGAAAAACACATGTTGTAGAAATTGCTTCTTTTAGGGTTGTGCAAAAACCCTATAGTCTGATATGGCTCAGTCTAACCAGAACAAACTAGATCTAGTCTAGCCCAGAAAAAATTGGCCCAAGGCAAAATTGGATCAGACTGATCTTGTCAGGTTGGATTGAACAGGGGACTAAGCCCACAAACCAATTGGCCCGGTCTAATCTACCCAAGTTTTTTTAACTTTTAACTATTATTTATATAATTTTAATTTGTTATAATTTTCCTATATAATTTTTTTTGTTCAATTCAAATAATCAAGACTTACCTATTTTTTAAGGTTTGGGCTTAAAAATCAGGAATTGACCACCCGTTCCATTTATATGTCTATAACTATGATAATGACCTTGCATGTGCTTGTCCAAAACATGACTTCAAGACACTATCATGATCACTCGCTAATAAAAGCTCTGACACAATATAAAATGATACTATGCTCTTACCTTCTAATTAATTTTTTTTTTTTGTGCTCATTACTTCTCAAACCATAACTCCTCTGACTCTAACATAATAAAGCACACAAGTTTAAGTTGCTATTGGTAAAAACACTACAAAAAAATCACTTTCAATGACAACTTTCAACGGTAACAAAAAAAGTCGACCCTGAAAGTATGACTTTCAGTGGCGACTTTTATTGTCACTACCGAAAGTGGGACTTTTTAGTGGCAACATCAAAGTCACTGCTGAATGTAGGACTTTCTATGGCAACTACATGTGGTCACCACTAAAAGGTTTAACATTTGGTGGCGACAAAAAATGTCACCATTAAAAGTACTTTCTACGGTGACAAAATGTCGCCACTGAAAGTATGTTTCAGCGGTGACATTTTAGTCGCCATTGAAAGTATTTTTCAAATTTCTTTTATTAGTTTTATTAAAGGTTATTATATTTATATTGTAATTATTTTTATTGACATAATTAAGTATAAATAACCAAAAGATTTTTTTAATGTATTATTGTGTTTGGGGGAGAGTTAGAGAGAGATAATGTAGTGAGTGAGAGAGAATGGAGGAGATAGAATAGGTGGGGTATGTATGAGATAGAGATGTTATAATTATATATCTAAGACAGAATTAAGAATGTGTGTGAGGAATGGGGTGCAAGCATACATGAGAGAGAGATGTACATTTGAGAGATTAGGAAAGATGGGAAGGTAGGGAGAGATAGAGTGTGAGAGAAAGATGTAATATGTAATTAAAATATAATTGAAAGTGAGATGGTGTGTGTGAGAGGAATGCATTATAATTGAAAGGGATAGCATAGTTAAGTTTATGAGGGAGAGATGATTATAGTTAAATTAGTGTGAGTGTACTGTGGCAATTTTTTTTGTCGCCGCTGAATATATGACCTTCAGTGGTGATGTTATCACTGAAGGGTTCACTTTCAACAATGACTTTCTAATGTCACCGCTGAAGGTCTCACTTTTAGCGGTGACTTTCTAATGTCGCCGCTGAAAGTATAATCTAATAATATATATTTTATTTTACAAAAATAATAAACAAATTCAATTCAGCTCAATGGCAAGAAGATTGGACATGCAAGGAGAAGGTCACGAGTTTGAACCTTGAAGAAGATACATTTAAGGTGAAAAATATTTGGGCGGTGATATGGTAGCAAGACAATAACATGGCATGAGAGTGGTGATGTGGCAATGACGTGGAGGAGCCGACGATGATGTGGAGGTGGCTAGTGATGATGTGGTGACCGGCAGCAATGACGTGGCACCGGTGGTGATGACGTGGCATCTGGTCGGTGATGATGTGGCGACCGACAGTGATGACGTGATGCCGATGGTAATGATGTGGCATCAGTAAAAACCACTTTTTCTAGGTCATCACTTTTTGTGACGGCAAAAAAGTCACTTTTGGCGGCGACAGTTAAGTTCTCTTACCAGTGACAAAAAAGTTGCTGCCCACTGAAAGTGTCTTTCAACGGTAACCTTTTTGTCGCCGCTGAAAGTTTTCAACCACGGTCGCTACGGCAATAACTTTCAGTGGCGATTTCAGCGGCGAATTTTATACTTTTAACTGTAACTTTTTGTACTCGTTGAAAGTTAATTTTTTTGTAGTGAAAGAATGAGAAGTTTTAAGAAAGGCGAAACCAGAAAGAAGATCCCTATTGATACATTTAGCATATCATGAGAATTCTAATACCAAGATAACTAAAGAAATGCCATTGTCATGAAAAAATCATGCTAGTTTTTATATTGATTGTCTTTTTTCTATTATAAAAGGTATTCCTGTCATTTACTCTATTTCTCGATTTTTATGTTCAAACATCTTCTTTTTTTTTTAATTTTTTCTTCATATTAAAGATGCAAATTAGTTTTGAAAAAATTTCGTTTCCTTTTTTCAATTTGAATTCCCATTCACTTTCTCATTTTCATAAAGAACTTCTTTTATTATACCAAATAGGCAAACAAGACATCACTAAGAAACTTCCTTCAAAACACAGCTTTACAAGTCTTGCAACAAAAACTAAACATACTAAATGACAAAAAAGAACCCATAAATAAGCCCTTACAAAATACGCATGTAAAAGACTCAATAAAAAGCCAAAGCTTTAATCAAGAAGGAGAATTTTTAAACCATAAAATTTGTCTAGGTATGCTGTAGAAGTGAGTAATATCTTGCAACCTATGTGATCTACACCATATGGAATCCCTATCTTACCCAATTCAAGTCTGTTGTAGAGGTTACAGATTACAATAA